GACATTATCATGTGTGGACTAGGTCCAAAGTGTGCTCAGTAGCTGATAATTTTATAAAACTGTTGCTTAAAATGTTTCAACATCAGTTTTAGAAATATTTACATCATACTTTGGCATTCTAAAAGATAAAAATCATAAATGTTTGCGGGTTTCACAAATAACTTTGCCCACTTGGATTTATTTATTTAAAGTCTAATATACAATAACAGTATATTCAAATGAAAAAAAATAGTTTAAATTCACACAGTTCATGTGCTGAAAAAGAAAATGATACCACATTAGAATATAATATTTGGGGTTAAAATCAAAATGAGTCAAAAATGACCATATGGAACTCTGAGTGCCAATGCCTGTGAGCTAGGTCAGTGTTTCTTTTGGTCATTGGATTTTCATTTTCGAAACGGGTTTTAAAAACAAGAGAGTGGATATTTGATTTTTGTTTTAAAATACTAGAATTAAAATTAAAATACAAAGCGTGTCTCATTCTTAGTGTCAAAAAGGGATAAACAAAATTTTAAAAATGATTTGAGTTTCATTTTCTGTTTCAGATAGCAAAAAAGAAAATTACTTCAAGGTAGAATGGAAAAAAGGCTTGTTTATTTGTAATCTACAACTATCTATTCCCCCACCAGAAGGGGCGCTCGCCTGGCTGCTCTGCATAATAAAACACTCATTTCTGTAAATAAGAGGCTGAAACAGATAAATATGTCCATAAATGAGTTGTATGATGACTGTTGCTCAGTGACCAAAGGCTGCAGAGATACTTCATGTGGCTTTTGGCCAAATAAGTCTCTTACTGAATACACGTCAGCTACTGCCTCCACTTCAGCAAGTCTTTTTTTCATTTCTGCCATAAACTAATTTTCTTTTTTGTTATCTGAAACAGAAAATTAAAAAATTGTTTTTTAAATACCAGTTTCAAAAATGAAAATCCAATGACCAAAAGACACACTGACCGAGCTAACTGCTGCTCTGCTATCTTAATAACTTTACTAATTCCTCAACATTACATCCTTAGATTTTGTACAGTGCCCTGAGATGATGTTTGTTGTTTCCGCCTCCATCTGCCTCCACCATCGGCCTCCAGCATTTGCAGACATCATCTGCCAGCCGGGACCTTGAACGGGCCAGTCAGGTACTTAATTCCCGGGCCACTTTTTTGCCCCAGTCCACCCCGATCAACTGTAGTGAATTGTGTGCGGATTGTCTGAAATATGTTGAATTTAGAGACAAACATATGTCACTGGTGTCATCTGTAATTAGGGTTGGGTACCGAAACTTGGTTCCAGTATGGCACCGGGGTGAACATAAACGGTAGTACTCAAACCGAAAAACAACTCTAATTTCGGTGCTTTATTTCGGTGCCTCAAAGAAAGCTGTTAATTGCGCCCTCTGGTGTTCACTGTTAACAGTGACAGCCTCGGCACAATCTCCACAGAGTGCCAACAACAATAAGGGTGAGTTATGAACTTTTAATGTGTTTTAACTGACTAATTTAGCTGTTTCTGTCCTCTGTGTCGGACTATGAGTGGTAGAGAGAACAGCTGAGTTTAAGTTTCACTTCGAACGGGAGCGCAGCGAGCGCCATGTTTTTACTTTCGGTTTGAAACTGCACTGTAATTAGCGTGTCCGCGTTGTTTTTCTTTTAAAAAAATGCTGGAACTGCTCACAGGAGGCACAGAAGAACACCTGTGTTGTTCTCCCTGCTGGATTAAAATAAAAAGCTCTCGGTCATTTCTCACTGTTACGTTAGAGCTGCCGCCGTGCAGCAGACAGACGCTGCAGATCACATTTGTTCTGACCGCAGTATAAAGTTGTGATGCAATTTTCCTTCACTGTACATTTCAAACTGTGCTCTAAACTTAACTTCAGCTGGTTTAAATGCATTTTTTGCCCGGTGTAAAAAAAACAGGAAGACTATGAGCGCTGTGTGTGTGTGTGTGTGTGTGTGTGTGTGTGTGTGTGTGTGTGTGTGTGTGT